GCATTTAAATTCCATTATTTTTAAAACTAATTAAGCTATATTTAATAAATTTGAATGAGCTTTAACATGAATAAAAGAAAAATGAATTCCATACACTGAAAAAAATAAATTATTTGAGTTTCTTAATGTAGCAAAATTCATCAGCCACCCTGTACAGTCGCGTCTAGCCTTGCCCTGTCAATTCAGCTCTCTCTTGGTTCACTCGAGAGTGTTAGCATGCTACTCAGACACTTGTTTAGCATGCTTATGTGAAGACTTCATAAACAATGAGTGCTTATATTTCAATTTTAATTAATTCAGTTGAGAAGTATACGATTTTTTAAAATACTGGTACTCCCAAATTTAAATTCAATCTAGTGAAAGTACTGTATATTTTAATAATAAGTTGGCATACAACTTATCCTTACCTTACCTGTATTATAATCTTAAATGCTCGCTTTGACCAATATAATGGCAATTATGTCATGAATAATAATGCTCATTCTTTACAACCCGCATAACCTTCATCAAATGCCTCTCTCCATAACTGCTTTTGGTTACTCTACAAAGGAAAGATATCCAAGTAAATTTTTTAACTCATTGAGATGGTGGTGGGAATCAGTTGTCTGTAAACTTTCTGGCCCACAGATAAAAGTTTTAGAATTAAACAATTAATCTTAAATCTGCTTTCTGCACTTCTTAGAAACTTCAATTCGTCCTTGGGACAATTGTGACCTTTACATTTAATATATTTATTTATATATATTTGAAATTTTTATTTGCGCTTCGTAAACAATTTCAATTAATTAGTTTCAATAAATACGCAAACACTCAAATGTCGCAAATATGTAAAAGAAACAGCGACAACATGAAAAGGAAGTTAAATGAAGTGGACTGAAGTAGAGTGAAGTACCTAAACCACAAGCCACCGAATAGCTTGCCGGATTCATGTATATTGCCCACGTTGTCCAATTGCCTATATAACGACGAATGTCATACATACAATTACATATACTATACATGCATTTAACACAAATAAAATTTGCCTCAACATGCAAATACTCAAATTTCCAATTGCTGTTTTGTATACTAACATGTATGTATGTATATCCTAGTTTATATCACCATATACTTATGTTTGTGTGCGCCTGCTCTTTAACACAAATAAACAATTTCTCTATGCCTATGTATTTTGGACCAACTCGTTTACTATCAAACAACTGTGCGTCTATATTCATCGACAGTCGCGTTTGCCCACCCGCATGCGCTTTTACTTTGTCAAAGTTGTTTGCCTATTAATGTATACGCATTTGCCGGCCGGTCTATCCTTGTTAACGGTTTCATTTTATTCTGTCATTCCAATTCGGTTCCCCCTTTTTTTGTAAAACTCTTCGGTCAATGTATTTTTATGCCGACAGCGACAAATTGAACACTCGTAAAATGCTGAAAGCTGTCAGAAGCCATGCACGCAGCAATCAGAACTAGAGATTTATTTGCATTGGCATAAACATGTTTGTGGATGCAGACCACGTGTAAAAATAGTTGATGAAATTAGTTTCAAACAATTTTACCGCTGTGACATTTCTGGTCCTGGAGGCTCAAGATTCAGCTTTTTTGCATAAAGAAAGTTATTAGCTTGTTACTTTTGAAGTTGCCCTGAAATCGACCTTAACAGCTGGCATAAGTAGATATGTGTTTAACCAGAGCTATTAAAGTCAAAGAAAATAATCGTAAGGTCTTCCAGCCACAAACCATTTTTCATTTCAGAAAAGTGGGTCGGTATACCATATACGTAATTTGCCTTTTATACTTCGGTATCCCAGAAAAAAAAAAAAAACAAATTATAATCATCGAAAATCGCTTTATTGTTTTTCAAAATATTCTAAAATAAGATCTATACAATTATGCACGAGTTTGAAACGTTTTTCGAAGCATTTTTGCCATTCTGTTTGAGGTTATCCCACAGCATGCGTTCTGACCGCAACAACCGCCTTCACTTGCCTTGACCTCATTGTTTATTTCTTCCGTACAGGAATGAAAATAAGTTGTTCAGTGCCATGACAGGACTATAAAGAGGATGACAAATGGATGTTTTGAGTACGCAAAAAGGCTTTGGAAAACAAATGATGGTGTAGCACTCATAATTTACCGTTCTCCATTGTTCTAGTGGTGTGGTTGTGACAAATCTAGTTTCTCCAAAAACCAGGCAACCATTTGCTTGGAAGTGCTTTGTGCGCGAACAGCTTTTGTTGGATTTGGCTCATCTTGAAACACCCATGCAGTCGACTGCTGTTTACTTTCGGGTGCATACGCGTAAATCCGCTTTTCCTCACCTATCACTATGTCATAGACGCGTTTCAAAGCACGTCTATCGTATTTTGTTAACCTTACTCTCGACCAATCGATATGAGCTTTTTTTTTTTGAGCGATTTATAAATTGTGTGGGATCCAATGTGAACAAATATTTTTTGCAGAAATGTAAAATTTAACGTATGCTAGTCCCACTAATACCCAAAACAATTGTCTCGATGGCATAATAGCTGACATGACGATTTTACAAATATCAGTTTGCCAATAGTACCAATAGTATCCGGAACAACAACTAATTTTGGAATACTTCTTCTTCAGTCTTTAAAATTTAGCAATAGAGATTTAACTCCATTATAAAATCGGAGCAGAAATGGTCATCGAAAGAACAATTATTTGATAAAGCTATTCAATCAACTATGAAAACAAGCACATTGCCCTAGTGAAAAATCAACGATAGGCCCAAAAGGCCCGATTTATATGACTAAGAGTTCCAATTTAGTTATCAAAACAGGATTTACCGTTACTATATGCCCTTCGTTGACATATCGCGTTAACTGAACTCTTATCAATCTTACTTCCCAATACTGGCGTTGTCGGTTAACTTTACTTTCAGGTAATTGAAAAAAAATTTTTAAAACTTATAAAGAATTGTTCTTGCATTTTTTAGAAATTTTAAAGTTTCTTTTTCGCAAAGGCTTGAGATACAATCGCCTTCGAGACCTTACACATAAAAACTCATATTCAAACATATTTTTATATACTTGTAGACCACCGAGATTGTCAGGATAAACGATCACTTGGATTTGAACTACCTAAAGGAAACTGTTGCTCTAATTTATTTTATGCGCTAAATGAACTCGTTTGCTCTTCATAGAGATAACTTTCTTCAATTCAGCAGAGTTTGAAGAGTTGCGAACAACAGATCGAACAAACAACTGGTGTAAAAACAACAGACTGCTATAATCAAATTAGATTAGCGACTATATCACTTGAATGTGTTAGTCACATATTTTCTTGTGTTAATTGATAACTTTTCGACAAAAGGACAGAACTCATAGCGAGTTGAGTTGGCGCGAATCGAAGCTAATACCATCTTGGACAAACAACTGCATTTTTATGTAGACAGTTTTCATAACTTACTTAGTAAGGAACCTAAGGTTACATCTATTGTAAATAGGTACTTCAGATGCGAGCTGCATGAAGGTTTCAAATTCTTCATTTAATATGTTCGACAAGTATTCGAAGCAATATCAGCTGGTTGTGGCGGAGAACAAAGTAAGTTGTCTTCTGCGCGACAAATATTAAATGAAGAAAGGCTTGTTTTGCACTTGATCCTATTCTTCGTATTTTCTTCCACCGAAGATTCGAATTTAATCATTTTGATGACTACTAAACATTTTTTAGAGTATCAGCCAAAGGAGAAGTACATATATATATATATATATGATATAGCCTTTATTGTTGCTCCCTACGAAACTATGTCAGGTAAGTGAGAAAGTTAAGTGGACTTTGAGTTTTAACTTGACAAATTATAGAAGAAAATTTTTTTTTAACAAAAATAAAAAAATATTGGTAGCTTTGGTTACACAGAAGACGTAATAGCTTTCACAAATATAAAAATTCCTTACGAAAACTTGATTCCGATTATTTTCTTTGTATGGCAGCTATATGCCATAGTTTCCCGATCTAAATAATTTCTCGAGTTGTGACACTGTCTTAGGCAGCAACGCTTCCTAAATTTCGAGAAGATATCTCGACAAATGAAAAAGCCTTTTCATGCAAGCACTTGATTCTGATTGATAGGGTCTCTGACATTTCCTTTTCCGTAGTATACCTTCTTCGGGGTATAAAAACATAAAAATATAAATAAATCAAGAAAAAATGCATCTCTCCTCTTACAAGCCATTCTTCATTAGGCAAACATTCGACACCACCCAAGACACAAGTTCAAGGAATACCCCACAACGCTTCCGTCAAAAGCAGGGACAAAGCTAATGAATCAAAAATACACACACACACACTTCAGGGGTGCAAATGACGCCGACACGCTGTGGCGCGCCGCCTCAAGCGTCCGCAGCTACTTCATTTATTATTGCTCTTCTCCTTATAGCATTATCAACATTTATAAACGACGCTACAGCATCAAGTGGCCATAGCTGCTGGCGTCGCTGCCGTCGTGTTGCGGTTAACGCTGACCTTAGCGCCAACAGCGCTGGCGCTGCCACCGGCAATTGAAATATTCCAGTGGCTCACGCTCCGGATAGTACGGCACGAGCCGCGTAAACGATTGGTTGTAAAGAGTTTCAAGTGCGCATAACACCGCACAGTATGGCATAGCAGAGCACGGCGATCAAGCGACCGGCGTTTGTGTTTTGAATGTATTTGTGCAAACTTTAAGTTTTTAACTGAAATTTAATTCATAAAATGAGTTGAAATTATAGTCAACTGGAAGGTTGGAAAGCTGTATTAAAGAACTATATAGACTGCACACATATGTACATACATTCGTTAAATACATATACATATGCAGTGTGTGTCTACAGAGCTTCCGTTGAAAAAATGAACCGGTGAAGTGTAATTTGAAACTTGTTTCCTCACGTTTGCTCAATGATGCTGCACAAGTGTAGTAACGTTATATTTTTAAATGAAATAAATTTAGAAAATATTTTTTCTAAACAACAACAAAAATTTGTATGAAATACCTACAAAAATAGAAAATGCAAAACGCTACCAAAAATAACAGTGCATTCAAATTGTTTTGCCTTTGTGTTAGGGCTGCGAATTCTCGCTACTTCCGCTGAAAAGTTCAACGATACATAAACGTAGAAATTAAATTAATATATATAGCAAAAATCATGACAAATATCAGCGTTTCATCTTTGATCTCCTACGATTCTATGGAAACCACAAGTGATTTCATTGCGAATCTCAGCTCAACCACAGCGCCAAGCATCATCGAGCAGTCACTGGCGTTGTATCATAATCGGCGTCGCTTCTTGTTCAGCGGGATTGTGCTGCTGCTCGGCGTTATCGGCAACGCCTTGGCGCTGGCGATTTTGGCGCGCAAAAAGGCGACGAAAAACAGCAAATATACGTTGTTGCTGCGGTAAGTTTATAGGTTAAAGAAATGAAGTTAGCCTTACATATATTGGATACATATTACTCATCCAGTGAACCATCAAACTATTTGGGTATAAGACATAAATCATCACACTTAGCAATTTTTTGAAATCTGGTCTAGCATAAGGCATATATCTGCCGCTGGAACAGCCTTTCTTCAATAAAAATGTAAATCAAATTGTTACTGTCAATGTAATTTGAACTAGGCGCTTGATGCGAATTTTAACAGATTCTGCGGCCTCACTATCTCTTCCAAAGTATGATATATCGTGGGGACCCAGATAAATATACTTTTTAAATTTATTTACTTAAGTACTTTATATTAAGTTTTAGAGCGATGTCGATATCGGACGAAAGATCAAAAATTCCGATTATGACAGAATTTATCACAAAGCATTAATGGCTTCAGAAACAAAATAAGCCACAATTATAAAACACAGAAGTATTAGCTTTTCGAAAACCCAATCATTTGCCAATTGTGATAAAGTATTCTCTATCTAAACAAAATCAGGAATAAGTGTGGCAGGCTTTAAATGTTTTTTTCTCTCCATTTCATTTATTACATAGAACGTTGAATGCCAAAGCGACAATATTTTCAGTTTAAAGAAGATGATGATGTGATAGAAAGTAAAAATTTATAATACAATCCCAAAAAGTTTTCTGACTATTAAAATTTATAAATTATATGTATTAAATTTGTATGTGGTATTTTTAAATTTATTTTCTTGAACTTCTTTTTCGTTTGAACCACAAAAAAATATATATATATTTGCCTTTATATTGATTAATTATTATTAAAAATTTAATGAGGAATTTCTCGTGTATCGCCTTTAAATTAAAAAAAAAAACAAATTAGCTTTAATTTTTGGTTTAGAAATCTCAACATAGACTAGTACACAGGCTTTGAAAATGATAAGAAAAAGAAAATAAACTCACAATGAGATGAAAGTTATCGGTAATTTAAAAGTAATTTACGGGCGATCTGAGGTAGGGCAAAAAGCATGGAAGAGTGATGGCTGTCTAAATTTTTTAGTGTTACAAACGGATTTTTTATGGCATAGTTGTAGGTAATGACAAGATCTACAACATTTGTTTACTTTTCTTATACCCTCAAAACTTATGTGAAAAAAAACACATAACCCAGTTTTTGTGTTTTTTATTTTTATCTTGGACAAAAATTTTTTTTTTTTAATGAAATTTTGTGTAAGCTCACCTTCTTATGTCTAAAAAAAAATGTATTTTTTAATTTAAGAAATTAGCTTTTTTGTCCCCATATTGAGCTAACAACGGAAAAAAATCCAATTTTTTATCAAAAAATCTCTGGTCAAAATTTCAGATTTCTTTAAAATTAGAGTAAGTCTTCAGTTGGCTACGATCTCTTCTTTCTGATGGCGTTAAACATATTTACATACATTATTATGATAAATTTGCTCAGAAACCGCAAAAAATTATGTACGCTCGTTTAACACGGCGTATGAGTAATATTTCTAAGTAACAATTTTGCAGAGATTTCGCTGCTGGATTATTGGAAAAATTAATAATGAAGTATGTCAGTACATTTAATTTTAGAAATACTTCTTTCAAATATATGCTATCAATATTAACGCTTTTTGTTCAAAAAAAAAAAAAATTACTCAGCGAAATACAAGTCGTATGAGCAATATTATTCGCGAAAAAAATTGTATATTCAATCAAAACACAAACAAAATATGATTTGCTTACTTAATGATGAACATGAAACTCCGTCGTTCGTCGCCGAAGAAAAAGAATGATGGTGCCAATTAATTTTCTTAAAAATCTAGTTTTTTTCTAAGTCTTATATAGAAGTATATAGACACATTGACACCACCTGTTACACTGTCAATATTTTTCCCCCTCGTATTTACCTCTTCAGCTGCCACATGTAGAACAAAAGTCCCATTTAAATATCAAAAAATCGTCTTTAATTTAGAATTAAATATGAGTCATATTTATGCAACAAGCATATTATATGAGAGCTTATACGAGATACACGTTTCGACAGTTTAATTATCTTTGCTAATTCCTTACACAAAAATATTACCCGACCTGCACCTCAGCTCACAAAATAACATTATGCCGAGAGTATGAATAATAAACTTTGCACTGTCCTGTCCTCTTATGTATATGCATATATTTTTGTTTGCCCTTTTGTATAATAATAAATGTATATGTAGTGCTTGTAAATAATACATACAAGCTTACTTTCATTGTCCACTGCTGGTTATTGCTTCAGTCTTTTCACAAATATGTCTACCTCGCTTCTCTTGACCTGTGTCCTTCTGAATTTTATATTAGTAATTTGTTAACCATTATACCGGTGAACGACACTCAGAAACGAACCTTTCTCAAGTTTAAGAGCCTTCGGTAAAATAAAGAACAGACAATATTTTTTACATTTTTAAATTCATCAAAAAAAAAAACATGTGTGTATCTAAGTAATGGTATCTATCATAAATAAACTCACTTTAAGTATTTCTTAGATATAAAAGACGAGGCAAAAATGTTTTTCAAATTTAAGAAATGATCTACGCATTCAGTTCAGTAGAGTATGACTTTATTGAAATCTATCATATTCGCTTTTTATGCCTTTAAAAAATCTCTTGGCATATTTCATGCTATACTTAGATTCTTAAACACAATGCCGCCTTACCATGCAAGGCCTAGTTTCAATACCTCATTGTTGGCTAAACGCTATTAAGGAGCCTGGATTTATTTGAAAAATAATCTTCAAAATTCCATATTTCTCGTTTAGCATATGTAGTTATAATTTCTTTCTAAGCGTAAGTAATTTCCAATTATATTTCTGATATATCAACCATTTAACCAACAGCTGACTAACTACTTCGTCTACTACAATGTAAGTTCAAGATTTAGGTAAACTTAATGAAGCTTCAAAGTGGATTGATACTGGTCTGCCACCAAACTTGTAGAGTTGCAATAACATTCTGGTTCCGAATAGAGTAACAAAAGATCTTTTGAATTACCAAATCTCATCCATACGGTAACGTTAAATATTTTATCAAGAAATGAACGAAAGTGTCTAGAAAACAGCACTTTGGCAATTTCTTCTAGATTAACAGCTTTCGCAATACTAAGCTTAAAGCATAACAACTCATAACGAGCGAGTGTTGGTTGGAGTTGAAGTTGAAGCCTCAATAAATTTGTAATACGCATAAAGCCCAATATATACTACATATAAGCATTTGGATCTTTAGAAGACTTTTGTCATCCCAAAGAATCCATCTGAAACCGTCCAAATATGATTAGCCTAAATATCCAACCTAACTAAACTTTTATATACTTTTGTTTATAATGATCAGTATGAGTGGAGATTTCTCGATGTTCTCACAATTTTACCATTAAACAAGATCAAGACAATAAAAAACTGGTTATAAGGATAAAAAAAAACAGTACCAGTACAGTCTGAATTTTTAACGCTCAGTTAAACTCCGAAATGTTTATTTATGAATACACAATATATTATTGGAAGATTCCTCTCCTAATTAAAACCAAAAATATTTGATTAAAAGGACTGAATTTTAAAGCCATTGAATACAATTGTTAAATTTCCGGTTGAAGAGTGTGTTCATCGGCCCTTAGCCGCTAGCCGGTCTACTAAACTAATTTTAATAGCTTGTCAAAAAAAGGTCACGTTTTTAAATTTTCCTTGTGGTTGTGATATACTCGTATACCTACATTTTCAAATGTATAAAGTTTTCTCAGTGAACACTAAACGCTATACGCTACTACTTGCATGCGATTGCACTTGAGCATGAGATTCCGTACTAAAATTCTTTTTTTTTATTTCAATTATATTTTTTATCACGTAAATATATGTATAAAAAAAAAAAATAATTATATGCATCTCTAAGCAATTTTGAGGGAAACAAATACCGGTAATAGGACTATAAATTGGCAATTACAGTCGTAATATCGGACAGCAATTACTATCGTATTATTGAAAGTATTATAAGAATTTTCAAAGAGTTTTCCAAAATATGTTATCTGCTCTTGAATCAAACTTATGTTCCTTTTTCTATAAACACATATACGATCTGATTAAATATGACTCTTAAAAAAACAACATTGTCATCTATCACTGACATACCCAAAACATATCCACAACATCGTTCATCGATTCGGTTTGGGCACGCAGTTTAAATGGACTAGTCTAGCCAAATTTTATCTTGACTGCATATTAAAATTTTGCTCCATGGAAAATCCGCATGATGTAAACTTTAAGTTATAATTTATATCTTAAATAAAACTATTGTAGATGCTGATATAATTAAAAATAACCAACGCCTCCACGTACATCATTCAACTACGGCTTCAATGGACCGTTTATTTTCGCTTTGCAATGCTCATCATTTATGGTTGATGGTTTTGTTAATTAATTTTTAACATTTCATAAGCAGATTTATTGTACGTTTCTGATTTTCCTCACAGAGGGCTGCTTGGGGTTGCCAATATGAACGCTTTTCTCCGTCAAAATACTATTATTATACATGTACATACTCGTATATACGTAGTTACATACTACAAGGTGCGTTCCAAAGTAAACAAGACTATTTGAATCTAGCGACCCCTTGTAGCGCGATCTATATGTCGACTGGTGCATTAGAATCTGAAATCTTTATCGGTTGTCCAGTGAGACATTTCATTTCATGACATTTCATTGACTGGAAGTGAAGTTATTGCGTTTTAAGTGTCAGTATGTTTGTGTTATCGGTGCGAAAATGAGCTTCGAACAAAGACTGTTTTAAGTCCTGTTTATTTTGGAACACTCCTTGCATACACATGAAAGTGAGCACAAATCGAATTAGATGCTGCCAAAAGTTAAATTTTCTATTTACTTTTGATTGAAAGCGCAGTGGGAAACAATTGAAAGTAGGAGGAAAGTCTAAAAAAGCCGACTATACACAACTAAAAATACTTTCCGCATTTGTACGCATTTAAAATGAT